GTGGATAGTCATTTTAACAGATTTTAATAACTTTATTTATTCAATAATTCTCAGGTTCATTGAAGTTTGTGATCTCCATTCATCAATTGTTGTTTAACTTGTCTAAATCTGTTAACTTAGAAGTAAACGCCTATTGGCATCTTCTTTGATCTGCCTTGTCCTAATTTGCTTTACTTAAGGTTCATTTATTGACAACTTGTTATTAAGTTAACACATTATCCAAGATAAGATTCTGATGGCACATAAGTGGTACATGTCATCTAATTCACTGGGAGGCAGAACTTGTGTTGCGATACCTTGTCTAAGTTTTGGACTTTTAAGTTTTTTAAATTTTGACATGTTTTTGATCTCCATCGATTCTTCTGATGTGTAATGATGTTCTATTTGTCTTTAAGCCTTATTCCTGTTGTAACTTGCATTATTTGAATGTATGTTTATGGTTGTCATATAAATTGCACTATTTTTCTTGTACTTGGTGTTGATTTTTGCATTTGTGTTCAGACATTTAATAATTATTCCTTTTGATTTGGTTTTGAGTATTGTTTACTCAAGAGGAGGGATTGTTATGGACTAATTATTTATATCTGTTTCACCTTGACGCTGTCCAGTACTCATATATCTTATGATAACTACTTTCGGCTGTTTTAATCTGTTTGCCCCAGACGTCAAGACTCCAGCAACGCATGACCTCTCTTATTTTTGATAAGGTAGCTCTTGGGCTGAGAGCCCTGTTGTTGGCTAGRTGGTTACATTTGTCGGACTGTGATTGGTTGTAAACTGTCACATGATGTTTTCATGATGTTATATTATTGGCTGCTCTCGGCTGACGAGTCAGCCACGACTCAACAGACTTCCTGATTGACCGTCTGCTTTGTTGTCGCTCAGAATTAAATCATTTGACGACCATACACGCCGACTTTCTGTGCATTTATTCCAATGTGTTTCTGCATTCTTGGTAAAACTTGCCACGACAAGTACTTTTCGTTCTGTTAAGGTATTTTTATTTGTATGTAGCCGTTTTCCCCCCCCAAGTACTTTATACATCACTGGTTATTTCCTTATATCCGCACCTTGTTTTGTTGGGGAGTAAGCGTTGGTGAGGAACCTGAAGTGTCCCTTGTTGTACCAGCTGATCAGGGACATGCTGCCTTTCATCATCACGTGGGACTGGCCCCGCTGCGCTGGCGTGGAGCTGCAGACCAGCATGCTTTGGGGTAGGCCTGTGCAGTCGCTCTTTCTGGTGCTCAGCAAACCGCAGCAGAAGATATCTGGAGAGGAACAGAGGGAGGAAACACTGAAACATGTTCCTATGTTCTGACCAAACAAACGATACGGTACATTTTCACAAATGTCTTTGTCCAACTTCGAACTTTGGATTTGACAAACAAATCTGAGTTCACAAGCTTTGCAATGAACAATCAGATTTATTTTCTGGACTCTTTCTCTCTAGTTTGGAYGAAAATGAACAAAATGATTCCATCTCGTCCATTTTTTTCGTCGTGTGGCTGAGCTGATTTGGTCTTTCTACACCATTACTAATCTTGCCTCCACAGTCATGGTGTGAGAATAATGCAGGGTGATTAACTCTGCCAATTATCTCTGCAAGAAAGAAATTTGTTGGACAATGTTTTTCACATGTCTGTTCTTTCAGGAGAGTGGAGGGGCTTATCGTTATAATTAATCAAAATGGCGTTTTTTTTCTTTCCTGCTTGTATTGAAGCTCCTGTGGAGTTTCTAGTTTAGTTTAGTAAAAAAAAAGTACAGTACAAAAAGTGCTTTCACTGCAGTGTGTGTCTGTAGCAGACAGACTTAACAAATCCACTATTGTGTTGTTTAATAGAGGCTTTGTGTTAAACTATGATTCAAATTAAATTATTTCTTCTCTATGAGAGTCGGTCATTTAAAAGAAAAAAGTAAAGATAAAAAGGCACAAACCCTAAGCACTGATTCCAAATAATAAAACTGARCATTACTGTGAAAGATTCAGCCACAAAGAATGGGATGGAATAATCACCTTTTTTTACAAAGGTTGGTTTCTTTGATAAAAGACGACTTTAAAGGAAACATTAAAGCTGTTTTTCTGAGCCTTTTTGAAAAGGTGAAGCAGCAGTTGTCACGACTGGCATTTAAACAATTCTGCGTCCATTTACCGAGTTAGAAATCTTGCTCTCACAAAAAATAATATAAAATAAATAAATAAATAAATAAATAAATAAATAAATAAATAAATAAATAAATAAAAGGCATTTTGGACTCTGTACAAAATGTCCTGCTTTGGTTGTTATTTCTTTTATTTAATTCTAATATCAATTCAGGTCAGACGCAGCCTTTTTTTCTCTCTCTTCTACTCTGCAGTAGCAACTTACTCTACTGAGATTTTCAGCTTCTACATAGCTATTTATAATAATATATAAAGCAATAAAACATCTCCTTCCATAAAATCACAAGTGTCTGATCTGTGGGCTGAGCTTCTGGCTCCTTGGATTTGGCATAAAATTTAAAATTGAAACAGAATTTGAATTAAACTTCCCCTCGCAACACACGTTTATGCTTTCAAAGCAATAATAAAAAAAGATTTTCCCTCTGAAATTCAGAGTTTAAAGGTTTAATTATTGGTAAAGTGAAGATAAACATCCTCAGAACTCCTGATGAGATAAAAAAAATATTCAGGTGAAATCATCTTTTTTCTTTCTTTCTTTTCTTTTCAATTTCTCCCCTTCTCTGGTAATTTTGCAGCATTTTGGAAGAAGGCAGAAATTAACACCTCTGAAAAAGAGTCTTGATTATGTAACCTTTTTAAAACACTAATTTGGACTGAGAAAGAAGATTAAACTAAAAATTTGAAAAAAGAAAAAAAAGAGATTTTGCTTATACTTTGCAATTTAAAAAATCATTTATCAAAGACAAAAGCTGAAAAAAAAAACATTCTAGATGCATTATTATCAAAYCACCATTAAAAAATAAAGATGGTGACTGGTCACTATGAGATGTTACAGTTTGTGCACCTTGTTTGCTGAATTCTGTGAAGAGGCCGAGGCTCGTGATGGACGGCCCGGTGAAGATGATGGCGTTCTTGCCGGAGATGTTCTGACAAAGCTGCTTGGCCACGAGGCTGTGGAGCTGAGGTTTGTTCTTCAAGGTGGCCAGACTGTCTGTGCCCTCCTTCAGATGGACCGAAACCTGGAGGGTCAGGACAGAAACATAAAAAAACATTAGTAATGTWAATGGTAAATGGACTGTACTTATACAGTATAGTGCCTTTCTATCCATCCAGGACACTCAAAGTGCTTCACACTACAGACATTCACCCATTCACACACACACATTCACACACTGATGATGGCAAACTACCATTGTAGCCACAGCTGCCCTGGGRCGCACTGACAGAGGCGAGGCTGCCATACACAGGCGCCACCGGACCCTCTGACCACCATCATAAAAAAACATTAGTCTGAATCTGCTGAATCAGCATTACCACCGTCAAATTCGATGCTGATGTTGAGTGCAAGAAAGGTGATACTACACAAGAGCAGCCTTAAATCAGTAAGCTTATTCTGATTTTCTGAAGGATCAAAATAAAAAAAATTATAAAAAAAAATAAAATCCCGTCTCTGATTCCGTGTACCCAACAGGAGCCGTGAATATTCACAGTTTGTCTGGATCGGAGCGTGCTGAAATGTGCCGCTTCACACATTTCACTGTTAAGTCCTAAAAGGCAACACAAGGCAGTGATCGACTTTCAACGAAAGCTATAATCAGGCGTGATGAAACGAAGTGTGCAAACAGTTCCGGCGTGTAACTTTTGCACGTTCTGCAGGACTTAAAATGGCATTAGCCTTGCAWCTTCACTCGCCCTGCAGCTATTAGTCTTAATGGTGASTTCATGCATCTGGAAGAGTGTTWGTGTTTACATGTTTGTGTACTCACTGGATAATGGAAACTCATTGATTTGCTTCACTAACTTATTTTTTTCTGCCCCCACCCTCCCGCGCCTCTTTCTCTCACAATTCATTTAGGCAGAGAGAGGAGACACAACAGAAGCCTGGTAAAGACTAAGTTGCTGCCAAATGGCTGCAGTCAATGTGAATTCTTCTGCATTTGATTTTTTTGTTAAATGGATGCAATAATGGAATGTAGCTTTTAATGACAACGTATTGCTTTTTGTTTGCTATTCCTTGTTTTACATACAGTAGGCGATGTGGGATTACAAGAAACAATGTGTATGGATAAATGAATCGATTTATTTTCTATAAATTACTAACAGAAAAAGAATGGATGAATTTATATTCTGCTCAGCTTTGCTTCTCTCCCCACTAATGCAATTTTGGTTTGCTTCCAGCTTTAAAAAAAAATGGAAACTCTCCTCCAGTAGTGTGTGCGTGTGTGTGTGTGTGTGTGTGGGCCTTAATTCAATCTTATAGGTGCTGTGCAGTAAAATGTTCTAAATTTATAATGTAATCTTGTTCTTCTCTAATTGCTCCACSAGCCTGGTAACATTTGTCGTTGCACTGAAATGTTAGTTCAGTTTAAAAGCCAGGGAGACTGTAAAGACTGTATATGTGAAGCTACAGTTTTCAGATGATAACATGTTCTGAGGTCTGAAGTCGTGACTYCTCAGAGGTTTATCTTTTTCCTCCGGGTGTCACAGATTCTCCTCCCGTGCTCTTAGTCACTCTGTTTCTGTTGGGAAATCGGACTAAAAACAGAGGATGTTGATGTTTTTCCCTGACAAAGCGTGTCARTTAAAGGGAACAAGCCTAACAGTCTTGTTGGTCTTGTATGACCCAACATCAAACTGTTCCACCTATGGAAACATGTCAAAAGACCCATCATCGGATCTTAGTTTTCAGCAGTGATGTCAGGCTGTAAWACTGAAGCCGACTTTGGTATCATTTATTATTAAGTTGTTGGCTAACATTTTAGGTGCCATTTAGTTTTTATTCACGAGACACTACAGCAGGGGGGCCAAAATTCAAAACTTGGGTCGAACTTGGGCAAATTTCTGTCAATATTTACTGAAAAAAATTGCTAGTTTAAAATGTTATCTAATAAATTATTCTTATAGAAATACGATTTCYTTTTTCCAAATGAAATTTATGTCGCGTTTAGATTAGAACAAACAAACCTGAACAAAAAGAAAAGAAAAAAAATAGATTTAGAAATGGTAATTGTAAGCAGATTTACCTTGCAACAATTTTATTTATTATTTCTTAGAGATGCATTTTATCCCAATGCAGCAAATCGGTAAAAAAAAATAATAAACTCTTGCTAAAAACCCAATTATATGACTTTAAAAATAGAAGAGAATGCAGCATTAAAGTGGAGTTTTTCTCTATACCCTATTAAAAATAATGTCACAGTATTTACTGCAGAACTTCTAAGAAAAATTAAGGACTTCCAGCTAAACAATTTCGCAAATTCACTGTTATGAAGGTTCGTCGTCTTCATTCTGCTCTCACTCTGGCTCCAACGTGTAAGGCTGATGGAAAAGTCTTCCCTTGATGACATCTTTTAATCAATTCTGCGCCGCTAGATAATCCTATCTCTGCTATCAAACTATAACAATGGCTGAATGGGTCAGAGTGGACAATGCTCTATCATTGGGAATGCAACCTGGAAGGGGCAGGGTGTGAAGGGTCTTGTTTGCATTTAAAGGGGCAATGCCATGTAAAATCAACTTTTTTGAGTTTTATATCATGTTATAATGTTATACTCTCATTAAAAAACACGCCCAAAGCCTTACTTTGACTCATTCATGCATGTCTGAGAAATCCTGCAGCATTTTTAGGCAGCCATGCTGAGGAGCAAAACAACAGGTGGGGACCAGAAACGCCTTTTGGGACCAGAAACGCCCCTGGGACGTGTCTTTAAGCTGAACTTCCTCATGGCAGGTGGTTCTTAAAGAGACAGAGGCCAATTTCAATGCGTTTAGAAGAGGAGGTGATGAGAAGATAAGTTTATTTTCTATTTAAACATAAAAACTGCATTTTAATAACAGCTAAAGGTGACAAAGATGCTTTATTATGGTATAGTATTTAAATGTATGCCTGACWAACACATAATATTGCCCCTTTAAAGCAACAGCACTAAAGTGAGTTGTTCGAAAAGGGGTTAAAGAGGGGATGGGGAGGTAGAATAAGGAAAAATTCTGACCAAAACATTGCAGTTCCAGTTTATATAGACMCCAACTGAATGATTCAAGTGTGAAAAAGAAGGATTTGAAAGCACAATATGAATTCATTTAATTTAAAATAATTATCTTTATATATTTGTGTGGATGTTGGAACTTTTATTACTGAGTAAACAGGACATTGTTTCACTGAAAGACAGGTTGAAATTTTCTATATGCTTCAGTTATTTTGAGCAGAAATTCTGCAACTAAGACAAAAATACTCAACTACATTCAGTGTTGTGGTGTTGGCCTGTATGTGTAGGTGGAATAAAAGACCTGCACAATATTGATTATGTGTTTAAAGACAATTTCTTTTTAAGCAAACTGTAGTTTAAAAGAAGAAAAACACTGAAAACCCGATTGTAAGATGTTAATTTAATAAACTGTAAGTAAAGAGTTATGAATATTTAAGAGGTTTGTCAGACTTTTTTGCTGCCCTGACCTTCAGCTGAAAACCATGCATTTGGTGTTACACAAGAAACAAGAGTGGGAGTTGAAGGTTGGATGGAGGGCAGGGTTGTTAGTCAGCAGAGCAGCTCTGCTTGATGGGGAACCACAGATCTAACCCACCGGTAGATACTTTACACTAAAAYGACATGAAAAGGAAAAAGAAAGAAAAAAAAAACATTCTGACAACCAGAAGTCATTTCTCGTGTTCAAAATGAATATGTTGAAATTCTAAAAATGAATTTTGCACCTTTGCACCCAGAAATCCCACTCACTGTAAAAAACCATTGGCTTCATGTGAAATGATGCAACATTAACAAGCTGAATGCTAGATTAGAAACTGGTTAAAGATCAAAGCCTTTGATGTTTTTACCAAAGCTTTTTTACTTCTGACTTCAGGCAGAATGAAATCTCGCATCTCTTTTATATTTGATGCAGCATCAGAGATTTGTATTTTAATTTTTTTGGCCTTTACTTTCAAAGCAGAAAAAAAAACACATTTAAAGTAGACGTTTCACTCCTGATGTTTCCGCTCATTTTCATCTGTGCGTCTACCTGACAGATGAATCCTGTGGAGGAGCACTGTCGAACCCAGAGGCTGAACTTCCTCTTCTTCCTCTTCCTCAGCTCTCTTTCTGTGCAGGTGGTGATGAACACGGGGTCCTCGTCTATCAATGGCTCGTGCAGGACCTGCGAGCACACGAGCATTGTTGCTGAACATCCTACTGCGTGTCGGATGAGTTTTTACGTAACCACGGAATGAGTACAGAAGGTGTTACTGGAGTAATAAGCAGCCTTCTTGTGTGAAAGTCTGTGCGATGTGTAATTACAGCTAAAGGTTAGAGAGAGAGAGAAGGCAGCCAATCAAAAATCTTCACTTCTTGTATGTGTGAGTGTGAGATTGAGAACCCCTCCCCTCAGAAAAAAAWTAAATAAAATAATAATAATGTGTGCATCTTTCTTCTCGCAAGACCTACAAAGTTACAAAAATTGGGAAAAAAAGGAGCAACGAGCATTAGGGCTGTGTATTGGCAAGAATTTGGCGATACGATACATATCATAACAGAGGGGTCACGATACGATACATCCCGATATATTGGGATACTGTAAGCAAGGCGATATATTGCGATATATTGCGATTTTTTTTGTCCAAAAATTCTATTAAATAAAAACATCTTACTGAAAAAAAAAGGCTAATGTTTACTTACAATGCTAATGCTACCCTTACTCTCTGGCGCTCAAGAGGTAGACGAGCCAAATGGCTGGCTCACTGCTGCAACTAGTGGTCAGAGGCTGAACTACAACATAAAAATGAACGGTTGGCAGGAAAGTTGACATTTTAAACCTTAATTAAAAATCGATACAGGACTTTAGAATATCGATACAGTATCGGGAAATGAAATATCGCGATATTTCAGTGTATCGATATTTTCTTACACCCCTAACGAGCATAGAAGCAGCTGTTCAAAACTTAACCTTGTAAATACAGCGGTTCCTCTGTCAGTTATTTATCCATGACATCATTTAGTTCATGCTCTAATAGTAACGGTTCATTTGCTTTTCACACACAGCGGCAAAATGGAAAATAGCTGTGACAGTTTAACGGGCTGTTTTATTCTCACATCATTTATTATCTCAGCAAGGATTTTCCTAAACTTTAATTTGTGTCAAGTCTTCTCCAATAGACGAATACGCAGGTTAYGTTAGACTGTGGCGGTCATGCAAAAAGAAGTACATCCTGTTACTGTGATCTCATTTGATCATTTAAACTAGTAACTTAAAAAACTGTGGATACATTTTCACAATCACTTTAAAACTAATAAGCATTTGAGCAAATGTTTCTAACCAATGTTCACATTTTGTCCCCCCCACCCACCGGACAGCCTCAACCTTTAACTCTTTGTCCTTCCTATATGATTTGACTAAAGCTCAACCGTGTRGTGATCAGAAGTTCTGTTCTACTGCAGCAAGAAGAGCAATGGATCATTTCCAAGTCAAATATAGAGTTACGAAAAAAACAAAAAACAAAAGTGAGGCATTGATGGATGCGTCACCTGAACCACTGTGGCTATTTAACCTCTTCACGACCCACGGCTTAGATCACAAAAAGCAGTTAGCCTTGTGCAAAACTGAAATGTGTTCCTGCAAGACTTTCATTTCTGTCTGAATAAGCCAGAAACAAAAACAGGAAACTATTTAAGCAGTTAAACATTTAGCTTTTATTATAAACTACAAAATTTTTTCCTCATGTTTGTAATATTATGTAAATTAGTTGAGACGCATGAAACTGTTTTTATAACCCTTTTTTAATAACAATTTCAGTATTTAAACGGTTTTATTGTAAACCTTCAAAGCTAATGTAGAATTAGGAGCGATACAACTGCTGTAGTAGATTATAGTTCTAATTAGTTGCAGCACTGACTGACATCCTCTTTCAGAAACAGCAGGACTTTAAAGCGACTCAAACTGGGCCAACAAATAGGAAATGATTCAACTTATTTCCAGAACTTCCATTCATTTTTTTATAGCATGGCAGCGGCTGGCGGGTGGAAACTGTTGCAGATGGGATATGATTGGTTGCAAGAGAAAGACAAATTTAACCTGAATACTATTTGGTCAGTAAAATCCAATAAACTAAATGCTTGGCAACAACTCAGCAGTAAAAGAAAAAAAAATGTTCCAATTAATAAAAAGCCAAAATCTACAAACACCAACACCCCTGATGCTGCAGCTACTGCCTCAGTTAGGTTGGTAGAAATGAAAAGGAAATATGAGTACACACAATCTAAAAATACAAAAAGTTGCTTTGAGTTGTGCACACCTGTGTCTGCGATGGTCTGAAKGTGCAGCTGAACGACTGCTGCAGCGAGTCCAGGAAAGGCTGGATCTTGTAAAGGCCCTGGTTGCTTCCCTGGGATGGCCGGAACGCCACGATGTGAAAGTACTTGAGGATCTTCTCGAAGCGGGAYTGGCTCATCTTCAGGGCGATGCTCTGGTTGCTGAAGAAGCCCGAGCTCCAGATGCTGAGCACCGACTCGCAGCGGTGCACGCTGGTGGAGATGACGAAGCCCAAGAAGGCCTTCATCTCCTGGGCTGTGACCGGACACCAGCCTTCCTCGGAGCCRAATCGTTCCTGGAACTTCTTGGCGTACATGTTGGTCTGGGTGACCATGTTCTGGATGCAGTTGTCGGGAACAAAGAGCTGGAAGAAGTCCAAGGCGGTGGCTGTGCCTGGCATCTTCTGAGTGGGGCCTGGATGAGGAAAGGAAAGAAGAAAACATGACAATAAAGCAAACTAGACTAGTAGCCATTTAACTATAATGCAATTTTGAGCAAACAAAATTAAAAAAAGTTTTCAATCATGTGAGGTAAATGCATCAAATTTTTTTCAAATGTGTTTCCATCGCCCCTTTTGTGCATTAACTCTTTTTCGGAAAATCCCCAAATCATCTCAAGYGAGCGTAAACCTTTTTTTTTGTGAATTTTGCCACCTTCATCAATCTCTACAAATGCGATACTACAAAATGTACAGTGGTGGGCACAGTTGCCCTAAAGCACTAATATGGGAGCTAATTTCCTGATTGGTGCTTTAGGGCTTTTGCTAATTTTAAAATTTATTAGTGGATTAGAACTTGCTAAATTTATAGGCTACATTTAGAAGCACTAACTGAGGTCTATAAATGTTATTGATCAACGTTAATGTTTACAGTTGACGGTGAAAACTGTGGCACATTTTGTTCATATGTAGGGCGCTATAAATTCCATTTTATTTTTTCCCAAATTCCGTTTTTTCCGTTTTTATTTATCTAAATTCCACTTTTACCATTTTTTTCCCTGAATTACACATTTCCACTGTAACCACATTTATTAACTTAAAAAGTGTGTAATTATAAAGTGACTGAACAATGATAAAACAAATAAATAGCTACAGAAATTTAAAAAATAATATCATTTCACTAATATAACAAATAGTTGTGGTTCAGTAGAATATTAAACTATTTTTGAAAGGAGTTTAAAAGTATTAAAAACATTCTTTATGTGTAAAACATCAAACCTCACATAATAAAGTTAGTTAGACACCTCAGAAACTCGCCCAAATAAGCAAATTCCGTGAGATTACGCATTTTACACTGGATTTCATTTTGTTTGGTCAATTCCGCGGTTCCGTCCGCATTTTTCGCATCGCGGAAATTATATGGCCCTACATGTGTGTCACTTATCCACTAGGTGACAATTTCTTGACAATATGAACTCAAATATGGTTGTGGAATGTCAATATGATAAGTCTTTGACAATATGTGACTCATATTGTCTGTTGTGTGAATGATCATGGTTTGACTGGATTAGTTTTAGTTCTTTAGAATTAGCTTTTGCTAAAACTTTCAGTGCATTAGTGCTTTAGAATTAGGGGACCTAAATATTTGAGTTAGTGTTTTAGGGCTAGTGGAACTAATTTTTAAATTAGTGCTGTCCACCACTGAAAATGTGAATAACAAAACATTTATAGAAACAGCAAGTGACAGAACAAGAAGTCTAGTGAGAGACAAAACTATCATGTAATCCTGGCTCTCAGATAAAAAAAAAAAATTGTCTTTTGACAAAAAGAGAATAAAATTGTTTTGTTGAGCTGTCACTGGTTTACGTAAATCACACTATCATTTTTAAAAGACTTGAAAATACAGCATAATAATAATCCATTGGGTTTGCCTTTTTTTTAATCAACCACAGCAGCTTTCTGGTTTGAATGTCAGAAGCCCAGGGCCACCGTTGGAAAGTTTACACGACTTGACAGCCGCCGCGCTGAGATACTCGTCACAGAATCCCGTTTCCCTGCCAGCAGAAGGATTCAGTGTCTTCCTGCCTTCCAGTTATGGCAGGAAGTAAGCCAAAATCATCCTCCTGTGTAGCCAAATCAAGCTGGAGACGCGACGAAAAGCCATCTGAAGTCTGTCAAGAAAGCTTTAGCTCATAAAGGATGGTGTTGTTCAGACATTGGCATTTAGAATTCTGTCTAAACAATGGATCCATTTAAACTCTGGTGCACTGGTAAACACACAAACCCGTTTTTTTTTTAACAAAAAGATGTGCTTTTAACCCGACAGGTTGAAGAGTTCAAACCATTGTCTTAATGAATACACAGTAGGGCTGCCACAAACGATTATTTTTATAATCGATTAATCACCGATTATTTTTTTCGATTAGTCGACTAATCGGATCATACGTTAATTGAATATAAAACATACAGCTTATCGCGCCAGAATGCAGCTGCTATTATATAACCATGGTTAGATTTTAGCTATATGCTAACAAAAAATAATTGCTGTGGAAGGCAAGTTCTGCTCTGCAGATATTACACAGGTTTCTCTTTCATTTTCTTAAAATGATCCCACACTTTGAGCTCTGTTGTCAGGTAGCCATGATACCAGAGCCTATCTGTATAATGTCTTGTGACGTCCACGGCCTACCCCAGTTACCACTACTGTGCATGTGTGTCAAGGACAGAAAGGCAGATGTGGCAGTGGAAGGTGTCAAAGCAGTTTGGAGAGAAAAACAAAGAAAAAAAAAAAAAAAAAAAACAAAAAAAAAAAAAAAACGATTAATCGATTATTAAATTAGTCAGCGATTATTTTAATAATCGATTAGTCGTCAACTAATCGACTAATCGTGGCAGCCCTAATACACAGYGGTTCGCCTTCGTTGAACTTATAATAAATTACTTGTCTTTTTCAGGTCTCAACCTTGATGATGTCAGCGTGAGGCTATGAGGTCAGTAGAAAGGCGATTTAGACCTACATCAAGACAGACCTTTCAGTTTAAAAGAAGCATTTTAGCTGACCAGTGAGGCGTCACAGTGCTGGGACTGGATTGTGTTCACTTTCATCAAGTAAGAGAGTTACACTGAGCTTGTTGACTGCACGCAAAGAAATCTGGATATTGAGCAGAGCAACTTCAAGCTCAATTAAACACTCGAGGTCTCATTATCCCCGAACGGCAGAGAGCGGCGCCTTCATTTTCTCCACAAATCACTCTTTTTTTCACAATCATGTTTTGCTTCCAAATGGTTTTCCGCAGCTAAAATAATGAATGACTATCACTTCGTCCTCTTGCTGTTGAATCAAAGATTACAAGCACAAGTGTTTTCTTCCCTAATAGTAGGTTGTTAACGTGTGGAGGCGGGCGAGAGGTGGACAAAAAAGACAATGGAGCACACCCACACAGCTGATGCTCACCAAGAAGACAGCCAAAGGAGCTGCAGCGCATCTCCAAACCAACTCTTTTACATCCTTGAAGATGTGAAAACTTAATGTAAAATTCAACTTGACTTTCAGGCATGAAATTATAATGAATTTCCAACTAAAAGCTAGGACTAAATGCTCCACATCTCAGAATAAAACTAAAAATACAGCCTGGGAAAAGGCTTCATTTTTGTGAATGGTTAATCTATTGCATCTGCTGCATTAGAGACTTTATATTTACTCAGAATTTGCAACAATTTTCTGTCTGCTAACATTGTCTTGTGTCAGCCAAGAGATTGAATTAAATAAAATATACATAACGCATAGCTCATATTTTACTTCAGTTTCAGATGGATAAGAGTCTGTCTGTAAAGCTTTCATAATCAGGGATTAAACAGTCAGAGATTTTTATGTAAAAGATAAACCCATCTCAGAGCTACAGTAAACTGGACATGCTTACGACTTGTATTTTTTGCGGAAACCAAAGGGGAAGCACCAGAACTGAGCCGTGATATCTGTCCATCTTTGCTAAGAGGGTTTTTGTGAGATTTTCTGTGGAAATAATCCCTTACAGTGTTGTACTGTGGTGCATTACATCAGAAAAATCCTTTTCAGATTTGAAATAAATAAATAAATAAATAAAATTAAAAAACAGCTTTTTTTTTTACATAGCAGTATCTATTGCCACTTAAAGATCCTGGGAATATTTCGGTTTATGATACAAAATGTTGTTTCAAAAACAAACAAACAAAAAAAAAGACTTAGTGGATAATAAAGGGTTGTTTCTGTAATAAATTCAGGATATACAGTATTTATTTTAAATATAGCATTCAAACTAATTTGTGTATTGAGGGACATTCTCCCCCCCCCATTTTTTTGTAAATATTCTCGAGTGAATGTTAGGATAAAGCGTCTAATATGCATTTCTGTTTGACAAACAGTTAACATATGAGAAAAAGTCTATAAAAGCATGTCTGAGTGACAATATGCGAAACACCACAGAGAGAAACAGAAGGTCAAACAGACGACCTGACATATGGCGCGCCACAGAAATCTACCAGACATGCTCAGCAGAGCTAACGAATAAATTTGCCTTTCATTCCCTCTAACATCGTGGTAAGATGATTACATAATGAAAGATCTGGGCAAAAATGTTTAATAATCCATAAAAAACATCTCACACTGGAATGAAGTCAACACATCTAATCTGAACCCRATGCCACATTTCCCAAAAAAGACAAAAAAACCCCGGCATTGGTTTTTGCATCTGTGTTTGTCTCAGTAAAACAAGTTGGTTTGTTTCCAGACAGTGGTTGATAATTTATGAATATGATGAACACAGTTCAAAGAGTGGAGTTGTCATCCAAACAGCACAGACAGAGAAATGGGCAGGAAGGCAAGCAGGGAAGTGACTGAGATCAGTGCTGGCTCTAGCCATTTTGGTGCCCTAGGCGAGTTGAAGGCCCCCCCCCCCCCCCAGCTATGTCCCACCCACCCCAATTTGAACCCCTAAAAACAAGTTTGACTGTGTAAGGCACTATGGTAAACTTAGATTTATTTGCTTTCCCAGAAAGCAAATAAATAACAACATAYATGTCAACTTGTACCGACTGTCCGTAAATTATAAGGATTTTACATCATTTTTCAGGTATACGGACGTATACGGCAATCTCACAGATTTTTTCAAGTCTTACTACATTATAATTTTTAGGACAATGCTATTTGAAAAGGGCGCTGAGCAGAGTTACAACAAGGGATTACAAATACTTTTTTTCTTCTGCAGTTCGAAACCCCCTCCAGCAGATGGCGCTGTATGCGACCGCCTAGTTCGCCTATGCCAAGAGCCGGCTCTGACTGAGATACAGATAGACGGGTGCACAAATGTCAGGGACTAATATAGTATGAGTTAGTGAACTTTTATAGATTCATTGCAGTTTCTAATAATCTCTGCCCAGATACACAGTGGCAGGTGAACACTTGTGCAAACATACTGTTTCTTAACAAATCCAACCAGAACGTATAAAGACAGACACACCTGTCACAGCTTTTGATTAGGTTTGTAGTAACAAGGCATGCCAGATCAAACAGGATGTGGGAGAACAAAGCATCCTGCAACTTTCTGGGAACCCTGACAACAAGCCAGCACATTTTGGACAGTTAAAACTGCACCCAGTCTGCTTCAAGGGATGGGTTTTTACATAGCAGCGTTCGAAATGTTAACGTTTTACACCAAACAGCGAATACTCTCTCATGTGCTCCTTGATTTCTTATCAACGAGTGGCACATTTATTTATTTATTTTTTTTGCGCTGACATTAACAGCACCGAGAGAAAACAACTTGTCCTTGCACACAGACGGTGCATTTTCCTGACACACCGCAGTGGCTTCCTGCCACTTTAACCAGTCCACTGTGTGCCTGTCTTTCATTTTCATAAGTGAGTTAATATGTTGCTGTGAGCACGAGCAGAGCTTTGGTTCCTATCAACCACAGCCTTATTGCCTCTGATGCTGCAAGGCAATATAACGGGGGGGAGACAGGATGGGTGTTCTGATAGAAGCTGTTCAGAAGACAGACTGTTCAAAAGAGACAGATGGAGCAGTGCACATAAAAGTGCATGCACAAGTGGCGAGAGCCAGACAATTTATTTGTATCTTGAATATGAATCATGTTAAATAACTTCAATCTATTTGTTTGATCATTTTACATAATGCATTACAGTTTGTGAGGTAACAGCATGTTGTGTTGGGTTGCATCCAAACAGGATGACATACACACTGTGTGTGTATGTGCTAGTACTCATACTAGCATCAAGGGGTGAATTATGGTTTGTCATTAGGTCCATTGACGATGCAGTGTCATCCTCCTCTCCATCACACACTACACATCCACATGGAGCAAGGTGCAGACATCAGGGATGGGAAAGAAGAAATCAGATGCACCTGTTTGCAGTGTAATGTTGTGCATGACCTAAAAATTACTAGACCTCCTACCCCTCACGGCAAGGATGACCTTATTCATGTGCATCACGTCTCACCGTATGTCTCTTTGTACAGCGGCACCGTGACATCCTGCAGTGTCTCCGTCCAGCCCTCCTCCTCCGCCTGGCTACGCGACAGGGAGCCCGGGGGACCSGCTCCGCTGGTGCCCCCACCGGCTCCCCCGCTGTGCCCGTAGTCCTTGTCGCTCCGCTTCTGGTGGTGGTGGTGCTCTTCCTCGCCCGCCTCGGCTATGTAGTTGTCGGAGTCGGAGTCCCCGGAGGTGCTGTAGAAGGGGTTGTCGCTGCTGTCGTCGCCGGACTCGCCGAACACGTCGTCGGATATCTGCAGGCTCTCATACCGGGAGCGGGCCGCTTCCAGGAGAGACAGCGCCTTCCGCCCGCACTCCGCCATCTCCCTCAGCAGTGATGCTCCCCTCTCTCCTCCTCCGTGTTCCTCCCTCTTTCTGTGAGTCTGTCACTGGCGTTGCACGGTGCAGGTAAGTCACGACCCTGGGGAACAGGGATGCGCACGCCTTTAATGTGGCGCCAACACCCTGCCCTCGTCTTTAGGCTGGTTGTTCCTGCTCCACCTGCCCTGCCCCGGCTCCGGTGCCGAGCCTGGCGGTCAGACTGGGCTGCGTGCGGAACCGGAGAAAGCTGAGCTCCAAGTCCGGAAACAGTTCCGCCCCCTCGCTGTGCCTACAAGGCTGCGCACTGGGCAGCACACAACATCCGAGTAAACGGAGAAGCGAGCACCGCACAGATGAATAAAAGGCTGGTACACAGGAGCCAGTCAGCCAATGAAAGGCTGGTACACAGGAGCCAGTCAGCCAATCAGAGCGCACTTTTTGAACTAAAGAAGAAAGGAGCGGGTATAGAAGCAGATAAGTACCAAAAATAAAACAAAATAAAATAATTACATTTAATATTAGTTGGTTTTATTGTTTAGGCCTACATCATGGGTTTCCACAAAAATATACTTGAAATTAGCCATTTTAAATGTTTGTTCAATTTTTTAATTATTTTGTTTTTCTATACAATTTTTGCAAATTACTTCTGTGTGGTTTTAGCCTTCCACTTATAGAAATGTTCTGCTAACCTTTGGTTTTTGTAACTTTTTTTTAATGTCAGTTTATTTTCCACATATGCTGTGATCTATTAGGCTGATTGGGGGACGACCGCACATAATTTTTTTATGGGTGTAAATGGGCCTCATGCAAGAACATTTTCATATCTTACCCTAAATTTCTTTGTTTTTTTTTCGTATAAAGGGCTTGTGCCAGGTCAGATTCAGCAAACGCTTCTAACTTCAGGAAAATGCGTAAATGAGCTGCATAAACGTCATGAATATATATTCAGGTGCTCGCACAAGAAGAAAGCATAATTAGCATAATTAGCACCCCAATAATACCATTTAAGGCAATGCTTCCTGCCCCACATACCAGGAAGTGTTCATTCATGACAGAACAATTTCCCACAGAGGATCAATGAAGTAACTTTCCTGCTTGGCTACCAAAATTAGAGGGCTACACTGAAACAAAACATTTTGAATATCCAGCTTAGTAATACAGAAGATTTTAGTTAAAAGACAAACACACCCACTCAGTTTATCTGATTAATTCTGACACACACACAAAGTACCTCAGAATACAATACAATCAAAATGAATGGTAAAACCCCCACTTTTATTGTAACACAATATTGTGTGAAGTTTAATCAATGCTGAGTAAACATATGAAATCAAGAGATGTCTTCATATTTTCTCACGACAAATTCAAAAGTAAGCATTTTCTAAAAACATTTAGCATCAGAAAATTCACACCTAAAAAAATACCAACGTATTTATCAAATCAAATCAATTTTATTTATAAAGCGCTTTAAAACAGCGGCCGCTGACACAAAGTGCTGTACATAAGGGGCCAAAACAATAAATCAACACTAACACCCCAACATTAAAAACAAGTTAAAAAACAGCTTAAAAACAGCTAAAAAGACCAAGATTTTTTTTTTTTAGCTCACTGGCTTTTGACAGAGTTCTCAAACTGTTTTACGTTTTAAGATTAGTTTTAAAAACAGCCAATGAGGAGGCCTGCCTGACTTTTGGGGGTAGCTCATTCCAGAGCTTCGGAGCAGCAACTGAAAACGATCGATCCTCTCTGATGTAGGRTTGGGCAATATTGGCAAAAAAATTAATCACGATTAATTGTGGTATTTAGCCGATAACGATTAATTTGATGATTAATCCCCTGGAGTCCCTGAACACCCTTATGTCCTGGTCACACGACCAATTTAGTGGGAAGGATTAGCTCTTCATACAAATCTGTTCCAAATTGTCTCAAAATTACAGACTTCAGGCTATACATCACATTTTAAATTGTGTTGATAGATAAATAATTTACAGAGCTTTTTAAAAAAAATGTTCGTCATATTTGAAGCAGAGAGGAGCACCGAGCGAACTCTGCCTGCTGGCATTAATCGTATTAATCGTCAAGTGCCAAAAAGTAATCGATTAATGTTTTTCTGACGATTAATTGCAAACGATACGATTATGCCCAAACCGACTCTGAGGGTTCGCTTTGTCCTGGGAACTTTAAGGTGCAACCRATTGGCAGACCGGAGATACCGTGCAGGGGCATGGGGTGGAGATTTACACAAATCCTGATAGTTAATGTGGGTAAAAGGTAACTTTGTCTGCAATTTCCAAGAAAAAAAATTAAATCTCAATGATCATTTACGATTGATCTATTTTTGAGATAAGTTGAGATGGAGTTTTAGATGAAAATTCAACTCTGGAAGATTAACCTCACCTGCTCCATCCTGCCTCTGCGTCACAAGCACAGCTACATCCAATCAGCGTCTGACAGTCAGTGGATAAAAGCGTCCTCTGAAATCACTCCGACCGCTTGCCAGCCGAATGTCAACCTTCATCTTCTGGCTTCCAAGGACTTCTATCACCTTTGACCTCCACCACCAGGGGGAGGGGGGAAATACTCCTACCCCTCATCTCAAGCAGCTCATCGGAGCTTACATCATCTCTCAGCGCTCGCATCCTCTGCCGGAGTCTGAGCGCCAAACTCTGTCATTCATGTCAATTAACTTCCTAATTTCAGTCCATCTTTGTGCGAGTCTCTCCAGGTTGAAATAAGAATCAAATTCTGGGAGCATTTTTTTGCAGTAAGTAAAATAAGTTGAGAAGAGATGATGACTTTGTGGAAATGTTATCAATTTTAAACATCCCTAATGATGCTGCATGCCTCGTGTTCCTAAATAATTTCATCAGGCTGCTTTTGTCATCTTTAAATTAAACTTAAATTTAATTTAAACAGTTCATGGATGTTCACATAGTCTTAGTTGTAAGTTATGTCAGACTCTACCATGTGACTGCCAAAGGAAACATTTTACTGACAAGCTGGAAATGCTGAGGATTAGTCACCTCAACAGTGGCTACAGATTTTATAATCAGCCCTCCATTATCTCACTCTCACTTGTTTTAAATGCCCAACAACCTGACCCAGCAACAATGAATTAGAAATTTCCCACTGAAGTCAGTATCAAATAATAGTCCAATATACCAGTAAAACTATGTCACTGATGGTTTGATTTTTCTTATAACAAGTAAATCTTTACTGTTAATCTTTTTTAACAAAACATTTTTTGTGCGATCTGAAATAAGCAGTAACCTTTTTAACAAAGAAATAGTTAAATACAAAAAATAAAATAAAAAATAATAGCAATAAAAATAAAAAACTCTTGGAGCAGTACTGAACCAGTGTTGAAAATGCTGGTCTTTGTACAGTTGTACGATCCCAACAGTCACTTGAAGCCTTTGAACATGAGTTTGGCTTCATGATGTCTCGATTTACAAGTCACCTAAAACACACATATAAATACAACGTATTGTCACCTGTAAGTGGGAAAAAATATATCTTGGACACTATGTTCAATAAATACAGAAACACTTGACATATCACAAAAACCAAGAAGCTGTATCTTACTGATTACAGTTAATTTGGTTACTTTCTAAAATAATCATGTCATTTTTTTAAAAACACTTCATGTAATTTTCATGCTGTGATTACTCAAACTTTAAATGTTATTTGACACTTGATTTCAAATGAAAAAAAAAAAAAGTTAAAGACCAAGCAGCCTAGGAATTACTAATTTTCATCAACAGAGGTGAGGATCCCAAATGTATTTTGACTAGTTTTCATCATTCAACAAACAGTTCTTAAAACAGATTCCAACATTTTTTTTCTTTAATCTTTTCTTAAATATGCTGTGGAATCAGTCATCCGCCTAGGCTGAAACAATATTTTCAACCATGTTTTTTTTATTGCTACTGTCAGAGTTATCACTCTCAATGTGGACAAGCCTTTTCTGCATACAAATAAGAGAAAACCTACCAGAGTCCTGGGTCAGCCTTAGCTGCAGTTCATCAGAAATCACTCCAGTGTTTCTTAATTCATCTAGTAGTAACTTTACAGCTTGTTTCTGTCGTCGTTCGCGATCCTTGGCATTTCTCAGTTGCCGCTCAAGGTGTTCCACTCTGGCTTGAGCCTCAGACAGTTTAATCTTGATTTGATTTGGATCAAGAGCGTAATGATGATCCTATGAAATGAAAGATGCACTGAGTGAGAGCTACACAGTAAAGATAATGTATGTGATGTAAAAAAGGGCTTGATATACATACTTACTGATACTGAAGGCTTTGGTGAGTCAGGAGCTTTAGGAACAGGTACAGGTGCAGGATCATTACTTGGCTCACAAGCACGTCTTGATGTCCTAGTTGATCTGGTCTTTACAGGTGCCTTTAAATTCAGTGAAACAATGTGTAAGAATAGTGTTTACTTTAGTATTCCAAAGCAGTATTAGTTCCAGTTATATCTGAGATATATTTTGTGTATTAACCTTTTTCAAATGGTCTGGAAATGACTCAAATATTGAGGGAATCACATGTTCCCTCAAGCGAACAGTTTGTCCAGTTCTGTCAAAATCCTTGTCGTGGAAATGACTGCTACATAGAACTGTCTTATTAGAGGGCTTGAAGTCTCTCCGTCTAACAGCTAAGATCCAGGCTTTCCTGAGTCCAGGATCTTTAGGAAAYCTTTAATAAAAACATGTACATGTCAGACTCACACATATGCAGTCCCATAGTACATTCAGGGCATGAAAATTAACAACAAAAATGTGATTATGGTTTAGGATGTATATTCACAGACAGCACTGGTCATTTTTTATTACAGTCTAAAGCCCATTAACAAACTAAAACAACAAGATTCAATAAACAGCAACTTACTGGTGAAAAGTTATCCCCCGATGCTTACTCAGACTAGTTCGTCTGTTTTTACAGCCAAAAGCTGCACAAGACACCGGCATTTTCCCACTGCGATCATGTAAACAACAACAGAAAAAGCTGATCTGAGCTCGTGCTTTAACATTGACCTATCCAATATGGCGGACTCGAGGACGTACGACTCAGTAGCAAAGGCGGCATCTACGTTTCAGGGTCATATCGAAGCGCTACAATACCACCGCCATAATAACAGTAGTCTTAACGTTATTCAAAAAGTGAACAAAATACTCAGAGTCAAAATATTTTAAGTCAACTCTCCAAACAGCCACGACACGCTGCTCACCGCGGWCTGCTATTCGTGGGAACGAAGACAAGCGCACACACACTAGAGGGCGTGGTCGAGTCATTTCCTATTCTTCTTCTTTGGTGCCTAATGCCATGTTTGCGGAAGCTTGGATACAGTTAGCTAACAGAAGGTGGCCACTTTAATTCGTGAATATTGTTTGGTRGATTATTTTATAATCTAAAATGAATCTTCCAAAGGGACCAGATTCTCTGTGCTTCGACAAAGATGTTTTCATGAAGGTAAGAACGTGTGAACAGTTGCGTTATCTTAACAAGCTAATGTTAGCTCTGGTCAAAGTTGACGTTATTTCATTCAGTGCTTATGCTTACATTTGTAATCTATATTTTTATGTCAGCGAGTAGTACGTCTCGTCCACACAGCTACCGTTTTATATAGTAAAACTCGTAGTTTTATTAGAACATGYCCCGAGAAAAGAGGGAAATGTGTCCAGAGTTACATGAACAGTGACGATGAACAGTGACGTCAAATGAGTGTTGTCTCTCTGTCTGCAGGATGATTTTGATGTTGACCAGTTTGTGGCCGAGTGTCGAAAGCAGGTGCAGCTGGAGGAGATGAGAGAGGACCTGGAACTGTATTACAAGCTACTGAAAACAGCCATGGTAGAGCTTATCAACAAGGACTATGCAGACTTTGTGAATCTCTCTACCAACCTGGTTAGTGGTTATTACCAGGGATCCAACTCTCAGGAGTCAGATGCAGAGATAATTTTATATTGTGCTTTTTAAATCTATTTCTTGTTTAAACTGATGTTCATTCTTTTTAAAGTTATCTCATGTAAATATTGTCACCAATATTTCTTGTTCAGTGGTAAAAAAAATATATCTCCTGCTTATGTTTAAAAGTAAGGAAATGTGTATTATTTATATCAGCTTGAATCTACAGATATGAGTTGTAGATTTAATATATTCTCATCGATTTTAATTCTGTTTGCATCAATGTAGCTGATTTTTGGTTCTTTGTCTCAGGTGGGGATGGACAAAGCCCTTAATCAGCTTTCAGTGCCCTTGGGACAGTTGCGAGAAGAAGTCATGGTATGTGCTCTTAATAAATACACTGTAAAATAAAATAAAAAGACTTGGATTTATTTCTGCCACAGAATGTTTATAGTTTTGTTTGTTGCAGAGTCTGCGGTCCTGTGTAAGCGAAGTGATACAAGCTATTGATAACCAGCTATCTAAACAGGAAGATCTACAAAATAAAAAGGTGCGAATCAGCTTCATCCTGTTAAATTTTTGTTTTTCATTATCATCCATATAGTGAACTGTTGTGATACAGCCTAGCTTGAAACGAATTGTGCATCTCTTCTCTGTGGATTTGTAATACATACCTTTTATTTACACTATTCTTATTCACCAGGTGTGTGTATTGAGGTTAATTCAGGTGGTGCGTTCTGTCGAAAAGATTGAGAAGATTCTTCATTCGCAGAACTCAAAGGAATCAAATTCTCTGGAAATCAGCAGGTGGGAAAAACTGCTGAGACAAACACTTAAATGAGGCAGTGGATGTAGGTTGTAGTAACTGTGAGCAAATGCTTTATTTGAATAAAATTTTCTAAACTGTGGCTATCAGCAGGGAAAATATGAAATTAGTTGGTGTAATTTTATCATCCTTAAATGTTTTATGTGGGTATTTTTGGCCTGTTTAATTCCATTAAAAATGTTAAAGCACTGAAAATAAATATTGCATGGGGGCAAATAAGGACATAAATATGCAATTATCTTTATGACTGAGCACCTTCTTATCTTTGCACAGCCCCTTGTTGGCAGGTCAGATCCTGGAGAGAATTGCCACAGAATTCAATCAGCTGCAGTTCCATGCAGTGCAAAGCAAAGGCATGCCTCTGCTGGACAAAGTCAGACCTGTAAGTGTGAAGAAGTCAGTCAGCTGCAAACACCGAGTTGCTCAGTCAACCTGCTTCTTCTTTCCTCTGTCTCAGACTGAGACAGTCCGCTTCTATATAGTTCTTTTATTGAGTAGTAGAGTTAAAAAAGTCAGTACTGACTGTAAACCAGTCTCTGAAATGCTTGACCATATTTATTTTGTTTTGACAGCGTATAGCCGGGATCACCTCCATGTTGCAGCAGTCTCTGGAGGGCCTGTTGATAGAGGGCCTGCAGACGTCCAACGTGGACATGGTGCGTCACTGCCTGAGGACGTATGCCACCATCGACAAAACACGAGATGCCGAAGCTCTGGTGGGACAGGTGCTGGTTAAACCGTACATGGACCAGGTAAAAATACCAAACATTTTTATATGTTCATGGCAATCTTGCAATCGTTTTTAATAAGCAAACAATGAGTAAATTGAGCAATGTGACGATCATGGTTTTGGATTATGTAGCAGTTGGTTTGTACCCAAGACAAATTTTCTTCGGGACAATAAAGTTTTATCTTATCTTAAATTTCCAATTATCTAATAAGTATATTTCTTAAGTGATATGTTGATAACTTTTATATGGTGCTAAGTAATTAGATCTCCTACACAGAATTTCAATAATTTATTGATTTTCTTGTTTTAGATGCAATTAAGTCCTTTTGGCTTCTTCACGTTGTAGGTGATAATTGAAGAAGTGGTGAAGTCCAATCCAAGTGGTCTCCAGATGATGTACTCCAGACTGTTGGAGTTTGTTCCTCACCATTGTCGGCTGCTAAGAGAGGTGACTGGAGGAGCTATATCCAGGTATTGTTGTTATCAAGGAAGCAAACCAATTCAGTTAGTTAAAAAAATATGTTTTTCATTTGGAGAGGGAATTTAAAAGAAAATCTGTTCTCAAAACTGTTTGGTTTTCTAAAGGCCGTCACAATATAACATGTTAGACAACTTGTGAAAAGTGTGTTCAACACTAAAAATGTCTAAGCTGAAGATCGAATAAAAAATAATCCACTGGAAGCCTCTTTTGGACCTATACATACCCTAATGCTAACATTAGATCAAATGTATAATTGATATGAGTTAATTAGTTCTAACAAAATTTTCATAAGTCAGTATAAGTTGTCGAAAATGTTATAAGGTGGGAGGGTCTTAGTTTGTGCAAGTGTGACAGGAAAAAAACCAAGTAGTGTGATTTTGTGTGAAGACCATTTAGTATTTATTTTATTAGAGAAAATATAAATATAGCTACACATTTTTCCTAATTACCATGTATAATACGATCGAGTGTAATGCAATCATTTTTTTGAGCTTAAAAAGCGTTAAAAATCTAATTATCAATAATAACCCGTGCATAATAC